CTAGAGCCGGCGCGGAGGCCTCCGTCGCGTGCGGGGATTTGAGCGGCCTACACCTTCTGCAGAATGTTTCCATTCAAAATTCTTATTATTGTTATTAATTGGAACACGATTTATAGAATCACGTTTATGAAGCCCATATGCCCATATGATCAGCTTTCGTGTAAATACCGTAAGAAATACACTTGTTAAAATTATTTATAAATTTCCCTAGCTAGGATGAAAAAGCCATCTCGCTCATGGATGTGACGTGTACATCCGTCCCATCGGACACACACGAGGTGGGAGGATAGGGGGGCGGGGCGGGGCGAGAAAGGAATCGCGGCCTCCGGCGGCGGATCGGACTAGCCTCTCGCCTCGCGTCGGTGTACGGGAATTCCCCTCTGCAGGTGTCCGGCAGCAGGGCCACCCCCCGCCCCAGCCGAGACAACTTCTAGACTCCTAACTGTCCTCCAGGCATGCGAGGTAATGTAGTGCATGTGTGTGTGTGTGTGTATAAAAGAGGAGAGGAAGGGGCAAGTATGAAGAAGCGCAAAACCGTAGGCCCATTTGTTAGGGTACAGCCCCAGCATTCGCCTGGTGTTGATCGAAGAAACCACATTAAACTACCATGAGAGCAGCCGACCGCTGGAATTCTCCTCCAGACAGCGGCTGAATTTAACCAAGCTATGCAATTAGTTTCCACCACCTTCGGAACTCGATTCTTAGGATCTCCCGGTTAAAGTCGCTCCATTGGCAACACTTGTTGCTCTGAGCCAATTCTGCCGTCCACACGAGGGCTATTACTTCACTGTCAGTCGTTCCCTTGACAGTCTTCGAAGGGCTGGACTTGGGTAAACGCGAGACTTCTCCGGGATGATAGGGCGCTGTCCGCGACAGAAAAATAAGTCGTGCACGAATACTGTAGTGTGTCATTAGACCGTTACTTGTGACCGTAGGTCGCAATTCGTTCAATACTTTTAATAATTACATCTTACAATAAAAATTATTTAAAAATACCTTTTCTTGGAATATATGTACGCATAATTGAAATGAGCACATTACACCACAAATTCAATGTTCAAAAACAGCCTTAATATTATTAAGTAGCCTATAATTTGGTCGTATTTACAGCCTCTAATGACTTTAACCCGGTTCAGCATACTTCTATGAGATTTGAGTGAAAACGGGAGAGGGTATTAGAATCAATCGCATCGTGATTATGGCCTTCTAGTTCGTCCTCAGAAGTCATCGCGAGTATATTATCATTTTGATGGGTCATACCGTCGCGAGATGATCGTTCACATTATTGACAATCACTGTCCTGGTAGTAATGTTGACGTTTTCATAGTATCGTTCGACGTATGAACACAGCACTTCAAGTAGGTGAAATATCGCTTGACGTACGCGAGCTCTAGAAAACGATTCTACTCCCAATTTCACCCTTAGGCGACAAAGCTGACATTTTTTGCCAGCACAGCTCGCACGTAATGATATGCATTCAAATGAGACCAATATCTTCTCACACTACCGTTCATGTTCAGAATATAATAGCCAGAATAATTGTCATTACATTTTTAGATAGCATCTGGTGACGTTCGTTTCACATGACGAAACAAGTTTTGTATGCGAACTTCTCGTAGAGGGATGGGAATGTTCTGCAGTACATTTCGTTCCGTGACACAAGTAACACTTCGACCAGTTCCATCTATTCCACTATTCGCTTAGAAAAATTAAGATCATAAGTTTAAACAAGTAAATGCGGTCAAAATGAAAATATCATCTATTTTAAAAATAAATCTCAATAACTAAAAAAGTTGAAGAAAAAATACAAGAACGCGCAGAAGAGCTTTTAAAAGGAATACATTAATAATTCGTCTCTCTTTCTCTTGCAAGTACTTTCCATTTACTTTCTTTAAAACATGCCCCCAAAAGTAAGCAACATTCGACGAAACATACATATCAATCACCCAAGAAATCAACCACTACATAACAGAGAAAAAGGGGAAGAGATGCCATACCATATAGTTAATTGCAGTGATTAATGTATCTAAGATGCGGAAAATACATTTACGTGAACGATGTTACGGTACTAGGCTTAAACCACACACAATTGGAATGAGTAAACAAATCTCTCAATTTATATTTGCCACACAGTGAGGAATGAAAGGGTTAAAGTTGAGTACACGGTACACCCTTAGAGAAGCGTAGCGGCGAGGAGGGGAGGGGGGAAGGGGAGAATGGGGGAGGAGGGGTCTCCTCTAGCCCTTCCTCAAATTACGCTAAGCGCTCTGGCAGAAATATACGAAACTTACCGATATGCGATTATTATGGCGGTTTGACTGACGGTTTTACAACCCCAAAATAGGTCATTACTAATACCTGAATTATACTCAACTTGCTTCCCGAAAACCATGGCCCCTTCCGCACGGAACACTTACGCACATGAGGAGTGGCTCCTTCCTTGCTACACTTCCACTTGAAACCATCACACAACTTCTTTCGCTTGGCCAACCTCATAGGTCACTTACACACAGCACATTTAAATCCTGGAGCAATCAAACCACGTTCTTGAGCCTATTCAATGACAGCCAAACACCTCCTTTGGCGCAATGCGCAAAAAACCCACATTTATTTTCACCATCGTAGCACAGACACTCGACACTCAAAAACACAAATCACAAAGAATCTGAAGAACGCAAGAAACTTTACTGTACGAACAGCCGCCCCGACAGAAAATCGCGTATTAGTGTGATAGTGTGGTGGCACCTAAAACACGATTTAGGAGCCACCACACACAATTTCGTAATGAAATTTCGACAAGAAATTAGGGCGAAATTTCCCTCACCCCTAACTTTTTGACGTCACGTTCGTGACCAATTACGAACCATTAAAATTATTTCAGAAGTGTATTTTTTTACAATTAAATCGCCCACGCCTTCGGCGTTGGCGGTTTCGTCGGCGAGGCTGCCGCGCGCGCCAACATTTCAACCGATGAAAGGAAGGAAGAATTGTTATGGGAGATAAATCGATTCGACAGGATTTGAAAATGTGAGCCGAACTTGAATCTATCTACATCACTCAGAGCAAAATAAATGTAAAGACAGAATAGTTCACATGTCCCCGATCCATTCATTAACAACATCGAAAGAAATTCAGTTGTTTTAGAGATCACGTTTTAAAATTCAGAAATTGGATATATTCATTTATCTTACTATTTTCTATCTTTTTAAACATATTAGGTGTTGTACTTAAAACGTCTCCATAAAAATTATGAGAGGACGCATCAAATTAGCCAGCAGAAGACCGAGCCACAGGCGAGAGTTTTCGCTTCTGCTCTCTGTCACTTTTGGGGCAATGTCCAGAATAGGCATTTGACAGCCATGTAAGTTTATTCAAAAATTGTAATACAAAGGCAAATAAATTCACTACTTTTCAAGCTTATACCGAATACTCTTTTACACAGTCCCCCAAGCGGCTGATGAACTTGGCCACCCCTTTTCAAATCGAGAACACATTTTCGAAATCATCCTACTACAAATCAAAGCAAATGTCATTACTTCAACTAAAAGCTAATCATTCCTATATCAACATCGCACATTTAAGGGATATAGTTGGGCACGCTATAATCGGTGGTCACAATGAATTCCATCATCTCGACAACAATCCTATCACTATTTAGATCGGACCTTCCATCGGGCTAGTCTAAATCAACACCGGAGAGACGTGTCTGGATTGGGCCAGCTATATTTCAAAGTTTTAAAAATAATATTACAGAATATTATATCCAGTTTTTTAAACCTTTCTCCAAAAATAAGGGCCTAAAATGTTAAACGAATTGCGCTGCACATAGATATGAGGTTGTGTACAAAACAAATGAACAAAAGGAACCAATAACCCCAAAATTTGTACAACAATTATATTTTTTATCTCCCACCAACCACTACACTAATAAACAAACAAAATTTTCTTTTAATATTACTTTAATAATGTAACAAATAAAACAGAATCCTCAGTAGAAAATGTCAGTTCGGAGCTTGTAATATATAAATACAATTTTTATTTATTCCATAAGTTTAAAAACTACAAATATCCCAATCTAACGCAAGCGTAAAACTGTTTAAGTAGAAGCTTATTCATTATGTTATTGACAAAATTTTAGAAAGATAATACATGTATCTATTGTATGTACATATATCTTGATATTGAATTGACTTGTAACAATTTCATAAATAAAAAAAGTACAAGAACACATTTTGCATTTTTGTCAATACAATTGAAAAAGAAATGTAACAACACAATTTAAAGAATTTGTGCCAATATTTAAGTAATGTTATTTTCTGAGCTACAAATAAATCAATGAATTACTGATGTAACCTGAAAGGCTGTGAACTGCTAATTAACAAAGGGCAATGACAAGCATCTATACCTTCACATGCTGCAATTTTCATTAACAGTGTTTACCCTTCAACAGAAGGAATAATGAAATAAAAACACACACACAAAAAAAACAAAAAAACAACAACTTCGGTTTAACAATCAATTTCCAATTTTTCCTGCAAAAGTACTTATAGAATAGAAAATCTTTCTATAGCAAATTCTGGTTAGGGTCATTTAAGTCATTTAGTTACATTAAGTACTTCTTACACAATTACAATGACTGAAGCCTCGTATTCTTGCTTTATAATAAAACAATCTTAGAAAATAAAATGATGTACTGCCTGATAAAAAAGAAAATCTGAGCATTCTCTGAGGTGCCTATTAACAAGGTAAAATATTTGTCAAACTATCTTATTACTTTAATTGACTAAAATCAAAATTTAAGATTTTTTTAATTATCTCATAAAACTGCTAAACAATAGATTAAGATAATTTCTCTTCATTCAACTGTTAAAGTTTTAATACTTTCAATTAGATGATCTCATGATGGCTTGTGATTAGGGAATTAATTAGGGACAACACAACAGACACTTTTCAAAAATAATTAAAAATTAAGATAGCAAGAGGAATATTTTCTTTCATACCTCTTGAGTCAACTCAGCAGCGTCACGAAAGTCATCTAAGGTGGGATCATTGAGGTCATCCAACATAAGGGCTGCTCTGCTTGTTGATGGCTCATCGAAATGGCGCGGCCTCTCAACACCTGATGGGACGCTTGAACTTGATGATGCACTAGTACTATCAATGTCTGAGCTTGGAACTCCATTACCATCAACATTCAATAAATAAGCTGTTACATCTTGACTATGAGAATTTATCCTGTTGTAACGCCCCAGGGCATTGAGATCTTCAAATACTTCTCTTTCATAATTAAGAAGAACTGAATCTAAACTTTTTGGATGTAAATATAACCTACGTTGAATGAGAGTTTCAGCATAACTATGAGACCAGCTAGTCCCATCAGTTAAGTTATGAATACCAACACCAAAAGGATGAACATTGTATCCCAGGAGAGATTCAGGATCCACTCTCAGAAGGCTAAGAATAATAGCCAACTGGAGTAATTCATCTCGACACACTTTCTTCAAACACAACAAAGCCATATTTTTCACAGAAAATTAGACTTTTGTCTAGAAAATATCCGCCCTCTCAGGGCTCCCTTTTAACTTATTCCTCTAAAAAACTGTCACTTTCGTTTCACAGCATCATGACAATATGCACTCGTCTCTTCGTGCACCCATGTCCACATTTAAAAATTCCCACGCTTCTTCGTTTATCATTAGATTCACCTTTTCCAAACCACTAGCTGGTATTATGAAATAAGGTTATGGTAGGTAATGTTTGAGAGGAAAAAGTGAAGAAGTGATTTAAAATAACAGTTCCGTTTCATTGCACACTGATGAGTTTCTTATTTACTGCGCAACGTGACACAACAGTTTTATGAACAACAACTAACATTTCACAGCTACACAACACACAAGTAAAGCTAGAACTGTCAAACCACCCGGCACGGTAGAATTGAGATCTGCAATAAATATAATTTATACACGCGCGTACACGTCAAGAACAGTTCGCACATCAATTAGAAAACAACGAACATCCACCAAAGTGTTTTAAGACACAAACAAGGCCTACGAACAAGTCATTCTCATGCAAATACACCGTCAATACTTCCTCGCACGGGCACGGACCACCTTTTCATATGACTCAGCAGAGCAGTTGGGCAACACTGCCGCTGCTGCGCCGATGAGTGGTCACGTGTGCGCGCACAGCCACATGGGAGCATGACGAAATCAAGACGGTGCAAGGTCCAGAGGAAGATCGTAATAATTCTACTGTATTGAATTAACGAAACGAATTACAAGGTGCAGCACTCATTGATGTACAATAATTTCATATGATTTGCGCAAATTTAATTTCTGTAAACTTTGTTATGCAAGGAAAGTCAACTCTGACGGAGCAAACCGATCATATGGTAAGTGCGTGACTGCAAATGATAAAAAATAGTTCCACATGAAAGTAAGCATACTTCACTTTACCTGTATATATTTATTTTTTGGCGGCGACGGGGATGAACCTGGGGATAGGCTCTCCATTTGTGGCAACTCCTCCGCCCCCAACATCTTGAGGGATCTGGAAAAAGTGTTGACATACATATTAAGATGTTTTCGGAGGTGTCAGAAGGCGCGTTGTATTTCACTGTGTATAATCAGCGCACACAATGATTTACGACAATAACCAAACAAAAATAACGCTTCATGTTTCATTTCTAATTTTGCACAGAATAAGTTAAACTATCGCGTATATTTCCACAGAAAAAGTAATATATTCACTACATGAGCTTCCGCGTACCTTCCTCTTCTCCACTAGTCAAGGTTGTAATGACGTCATCGGAGGCAAGAAATACGAAGTTCATTCGTGATAATAAACGTTAAATGAAAGTATTCTTCCGCCGTTTTTATCACTTTCTTCTTGAAGGTGTAATTAAAAATATTAGTGTACAAAATATTAGAAATTCAAAATCATTGCTTATCTATCATGCTATTTCGTACTAAAAGGAAGAAATTCAAGATTACATCTGGAAAGTACATTGTTGGGGCGGCGTTGTAATGTTCGCCTTTTCAAAACATATCGGAAAGCCGCCAAAATATGCAACCAATAGCGAACTAGTAAACATTCTGGCACCCTCTTCAATGTAACATTCGTATCATTCTGAATGAAACACGTCGTAACTGAAATTACGAATTATATAATTAACTAATTTCGTGAGATATTGTCAATTTCAAGAACCTATAAGTTATTTACTCACCGTAATGAATACAATGCTTTGGCCAGACAGGGCTGCTCACATGATTTTGGTGGTTCAGGAAAGTTTTTTGATTTTCTACTTTTGAACAAATATATTTCAGTACACTTACTACACAACAGTCCCATAATCATTTTTAAGAACTAATAAAAAAACAGAATGATGCTTATTAATTCTCAAAGGGTACTGAGAACTTCAAATGTCGAAGCACATGATTGCTGAAGACATTGCACACACTGAAGGTAGTTCTTCCTTCCAATGGCTTGTGAATTACCATATTTCATTCCCATGACCTGTTGGCCTTCTTATGTTTCTATGCATGTTGATAATCTGTTTACAAAGAAGCATAACTTTGCTTCATTTGCAATTTAAAGAGGACCTTTTCCGGTGTAAAAGGAGTGGGGTGAGATTTGGATATAAGAGCAGGTGTTATTGGGTAGACATGTTAAAATGTAGAAATAAATATATAATGAATATAATATTTGTTTTAATTTTGTCATAAAATAGTATAAGAAATAAGTATTCAGAATACCAAGAGGAGAAAGTACAAAAAAACTTTGTATAATAAATAATATTATATAATTGTGAATAAGTTTATAAATAATAAATAATTTGCAATTAAATGCTTATTTTCCTGTTGTTCAAAATACAGATAAATATTGTTTAACTATTAATAAAGCATGGAAATCTTTTGTACAAAAGGGTCAAAGTGATAACTATTTCTTGCTTTGGCAAGAAAGCCATAATTGCACTTTTACTGGACAATTAAAAAAAAATTCATATGGACAATATATATTTTGAATAAATCACAGTGAAAAACATTCACTTAAGATCTGGGAACTGCTTAATTAAAAATTCACTCTCTCTAAAATATTGCACCATGTCTAAAGCTCTTAATTCTCACGAATATGCATTTCCCAGATTTAGAGAAGTGTTCAATCATTTTTCTCCAAAATTTTCTTCAAAACTTTAATTTGCCTATGAAACTGATCTAAAACAAAAACACCTGGTCATAAGACAAATTTATATTTTTGTTTGTATACATTATTTTGCTAGCTTTCTATATATCTTTGATGGGTTAAATGTCCCAAGAAAAAGTTTCAAGAATAACACACAAAAATTATATACATTTTCAAACTTACAAAATTTTATTAAACAAAGAATTAAGGTTGAAGGAAACAAATATTTTTTATTTCTGTGCTGATACTGATACTCCACTGATACAAATTTCTTTCATGTTTTGCTTCATTTCTTCTATAACTCCTGCTCAAGAGAATGCATTGACTCCCTAAGAATAAAGTCAATTAACTTATATGTTTATCGATAATTGTAAATGATTATGATACAATTTCAAATTAATTTATAAATTGCTTCTTACATGTATTCTTCTTCTAAGATCTACAAAATTTCAATTTTTCAAGTTCCTTTAAACATGTAACATAGTCAAAAGGTTTTAAAATTTATTTTCTTTACTATGAAAACAAATCTATCCTATCAGAAGGCTACACAATAATACTATACAAAACAAATTACTTGGGATTGTATAAATCTTATTCTATTGGCAAAAAGAAATTAAATCAATTAGATAAAGACATTGATCTTTGGTCCTTTTGCATGCAGGTACTGAAAGCAATGAAAAATAAACAATTTCAAATTCTATTTCCTTAAAAATTTGTATATTCAAATTCCTGTTTTTCATTCATGAACTTAAGATTTACTAATTAGCGAGAGTAAAGAATGGAATTTTATGAACCTAGTGTTTACGCTTGAAGCGGATAAACCAATAGATTTTTGAATGTTTTTTTTAATAAATTTATTCACATGGAGTATGCTTTTAGTGGTACAAAAACATTATCAAAGATTTTCTGTTTTACTTGTTTCCCCAGGTATGCTTTGTTTACAAGAAATGGTAAGTAGAGATTAGAAAAATTGATATGATCACCACTAATGTTGTGACATTTGAATTTTTATACATATTTAAGATAATAATCAACACACTCCAATATTCACATGTGTCAGTGAAGAATACTTCACTCTGAAAACCACTTTTATCATGGTGTAAAATTGCACGTAAGGAACTTCATGTGAAAAAAACCTCAGTTCAGCACTCAAAGACATGCCATCAGTCAATGTTTAAAAATTTAATTGTAGTAAATCTGTATTGACTTTCTTCTAGTAATATTCATTAAAACATACCCCATTCAATTTCCTGAAACAAATTTAATAAATAAAAAGCTTCCATTCACAGTCAGTTGTAAAATAGTAATATTAAGGGCTATCTTCAATCTATTCAATATTTAAAGAAAATAATTATACCATAGTGCATCTAACGACCTAATCTATTCTCAACATTCACTTCTAGCCTTTAAAATTACAAACCGTCCCTTCAGTAATTGTGACATGTAGCCTAGGGCAAGCATCACACAGGAAACTGTTGACTGCAGTCACCTGAATTAAGATATTTCTCATTGTTTCAGGCACATCATCACAATACGTTCCAAAATTCAGCTCTTACCAGGGACTCAAACACTCATCTAGCCCATTGCTTATAATCTGTGAATTGAGTAGCACCAATATGCAGCAATGCTGCCAAAGAATCAGGTCAGTCAGCAAGATAACTTTTGTAATGTTTCTTTTGTTTGAAATGCATTAATTTCATCTTGCACTATTCCATTTCAAATATGCCTATATCATTCATTTTTGTTACTTTTGATTTCAATACACAAAGACTTTAAATACAGCAATTTTATAATCAATATTATACTCTAGCTTGTTAATACATGTCATAATAATAGTGATAATAGCAATACCTCTTAATATGTAAACAAGATGCCATGAATCCAGCATGGCAAAAATAACATGCACAGCAACACTGAGCATACAAATTCGTTGGCAGGACGCAATTGGAGGGATGCAGATAAAAAGCCAAAATAGTTACACATTTTGTGAGTGAACATAAGATATTCATGTCTAGCAGTGTGTTACCGGAAACCGCTCTATTGAGAAAACACAATTACTTTCAGAAACTGTCTTATTATGCCACATGTACTCCATGGTATTTAATATTCTTCACATAATTATTTATATTTACTTCATAACACTGATAATATTTTTGTGCCAACAAAACTACTTACAGCTTAACATCAACATAATAATATCATAATACAAGAAACATCTACTATTGGAAGTTTTAAATAACATAACTTTCGTCTAGACACAACATTACATGAACAACAATGATCCAAAGCTAACATCTTCATAAATATATGCATATATAACCCCTGTTCATATGTATTAGGATATACCTTTATGAACAAAAAAACAAACTAGCAATAAATTTTGAACAGTATCATTTGCAAGTACATTGATAACACATGTATTGTCACGCACATTGTCAAGTTACACAATAGAGCATTTTCAACACTAATATGAAATTTACTGAGGCAAAATTAGATGGTCAATGCAATAACTTTCACTGCTGACAAACATTATATGCACTTCTACATTAAGCGAATTAAACTATTTTCAAACATCAGTTCACTGCTTTGAAATCTGCTGCTTAAAACATACAGTAAATATTTTTATTGTTCCACATTGAATATGTTAAACATTGAAATGCAGATCAACATGTTACTTAAAACCACTTCCTGCATTAATTTGTTCAACATTTTTTTGTCTTCATGGATTTTAAAAGAAAAAGCATTACAATAACGTTAAAAAATTAAAATTAGAACACCACTATGTTTCTTCATTAGGACAGTATAGTCTTGTTCAGAATTGAACCAGGAAAAATCGTAGAAAAAGCTTCAATAAAAAAAACAATGTTCATGGATATGATTAAGTCAAATAATGATTCTCTTGCAACAAAAAGATGCCTTGCATTATGAAAAAATATGATCTAGCTAATACTATTTCTTTCTTAGTGACCAGTGTCCTTGAGTTCTGAGACTTACAATGTTTCTGTAAGCTCATTAAGTACAAAAGTACTTTGATTATTATTTGGAGGTAAATACCAGTAATCTGTTGCAGATGACTACATTGAGACAGATATACCCACAACCGCACAGATGAAGATAAAAGAATCTCCTGCAAAGGTAATAATTTCACATTAAAGTCCTATGTCTGATGGTTCTAGTAGGTTCCTCTGTCTCTTGTAGCCATAAATTATGTATTATCTATCGAGGAAGTTACTCAGCCATGTGTAAATTGTTTCCTCATTGTTTTGTACCCAGTAGATATTTAGTCGTATTGTTTCTAGACTCTGCTGCAAGGATCGACTTCCAGATCCAACATTCATATGCTCGAAGAAAGATGAAACCTGGTGGAAGAAATTTACATTAACGTTTAAATTACGTAAATTACAACGTAAATTACAAGAACGTTTAAATAAGTAAATTAAAATATTAAATATATATTTAAAAAATTTAAAAATAGACAATTCCAATAACAATGGTAGCTATAAATTATTTACAATAAACATCTACATTACTAATTTCCAATTACTACAGAAATTGAAAGAAAACTAAGCAGTCTGCAGCTGTGGGAGAGGTGTTTATGGTTTTTCTGGACACCCAGGGCTCAATAAAAATACAAAACCATCTGTATTACTAATTTCCAACGTGTGCAGAAATTGAAAGAAAACTATGCCTACGCAGCCTCTGGCCTCGTGAGAGGTATGGTTCATTACCTAGAACTTTTGGGAAAAATCCTAACTCTCAGATTGTGAAGGGCTGTTGCCGAATTAGTTTTCCAGAGGAAATTACTTGATGACAACATTGAATGCCCACTAGAACAGTTAAACTTTAGCGTATTGGCATTCTGGTTGAGATCATATGACCTATTTGTGTGTCATCAGTTCAAGCATTTGGATTCAGCAAACATTCCAGTTAATATAATATGCTGAACTGCTAACACTACCAAATTGGGAGTAATTGAGAATACAGATGCAGTGTTTTTGAGAAGTGTCAGACTCTTGTCTAGCAGATTCACAAAATAAGTAATTTTTCCTTATATAATTTTTAATATTGTTTAAATTTGTATGTGAAGTTGTTAAATTATATATTTTTTTATTGTTTTTACACTTAAACGAAATACATTTCATTATGGAAATGTTTTTTGCATAAAATGTATATTTTTTGTATACAATTGTCCTTACACTAGAAATCAATAAAAAAAAATAAACAGTTGATTTTGACAGAAAAATGAAAAAATTGATTGTTTTAATCCCACATAGTCTCATACTGGGCTTACCAACTGAATTTTCATACTCTATTCATTGTTGCTTGAATGGAGTCTACATGCAACAGTAAGGCTCCAATTAATGACTGCCTGTCATTAAATAATTATTATTTACATTTTCAGTAATGGAACACCATTATTTTTTATATTCATGGAATGTAAACTGTATATACATACTATTGTACTACACTATGTTATTACAATATTTGTGAAGAGTTTTCGAGAAATTTTTGTTAAAATATTTAATTTTATCCTGTTTTACAAGAGAATTTCACTTGTTTTTGAGCAGAGTGAGTGCTACTATTGAAAAACTATTTTGAGTGGTTTTGTTTAGCAGCATTTTTGCTAGTGTAGGCCACTAGTTTTAAATAATTGAGGAAGAAAATTACAAAGAAAAAAACAAAAGATAAAGAAAAGAAAAACCCTAGTTCTAATAATATACAATACACAAATATTACATTAGCATAACCCTTAAAAATAAAGATAATTTATCTTTTAAAAATTCTACCTCATGGAGATCATACTGTGTAGAAAAATGTGATGTTACAGCAGATATGAGTCCACCCATTGAGAAAGTAGCATTACCAAACATAGCTTGCATTTGGTGCCACTGTGCTTTTAAATGTCTCCAAGCAAGAAATCGACCTTCTGGATTTGCAGCCACTACAGCAAGAACAACCTTCACATCTTGTGGTTTTACTAAGTTACGATCCAGTGTTGACAACAAAAACCTGAAAAATGTTTAACTGTAATAATGAAGTAACTAAAACTGCTGATTTTGTCTACAAGTGACTTTAAATGACAACCTTTGTAATATCCATGTATCAGATGCAACTCCAAGTGCTTTCAACAACAATTTTCGTTCACTTGGTATGCCAGTAGTGTTGTATTTCGACCAACAATGTTGCCACTCCTTCACTCCACCATATTTAATGCCTGAAATGAAATATTACAATGAAGTAGCAATAGTTACAAAATTCATATAAATTAATTACTTTAAAATTTTAAATAGTTATTTACCTGCCACATAAATTACTTCTCTTAAATTTGGTGGTATACGTGTACCATTAACCATCCAATCATTAAACATAATTTGAGCTTCCTTAACCACATCCTTTACATCACAAAGAATTGCTGATGCAAGAATATCAGATCGCATCAACCTGGAAACAAAATTAATTACTACATCATTAAAAACACATTCAAGTAAAAAAGAACTACGCTACAATAAAATTACATTTCAAATGGTGGCCAGCAAATACACATTTTCAACTTAGAGCCAATATAAGATAAAATGCCACAGGTCACAATTTAAAACATAGCAGGCAAGAAAGTAGATTTATTTGCTTTCTTTGAAAATAAATCTTTGAATAAAAAGTCAATCTTCATTAGCAACATAATATAAAATAATTTGTGTGGTGGTGGTGGTGGTGGTGGTAGTGGAGGCTGATGTGTTGGTAGTTTGTCAAGGCTCTACGGACTCAATGAAATCAATGGGCAGTCCTGCATTCATATCTTGATTGGCACTAATAAGAATAATTTTTAGTTATGGGACACTGCTCCCGTTGCTAAGACAGTTGTTGCAGACACGAATTATTAACATTTACTGAAGAAATAAATTTTTCTACTGCCTCAACTTCAGCTTATCAATGAAAATATTTGAAACAAGGATGATTATATCGTATCTACCAGGATAAGTAGCAACAACAGACTTCACTAAAACTGAATGATCAAACTTCACATTTTCATTGTTTATCTTACGATGTTAACTCACTTATCAAGATGAGAGCCAGTGTCCTTCCATCCAATGTAACGAGCCACAGGAGTCAATAAATATCGCATGTATTCAAGGAAAGATTTATATGCTCTAGTTTCTGCAAGACGCTTACTCCAAGACTGAAAGTGCTCTAATGCTGTAGCCCAAGGCACATAGTCACGTTCCTTCTGTAGGTAAATAGAAAGATTGAGGGGGATAGTAGCGTCTAAAACTCCTGCCCTGAAAACACATTATTAATCATTAGAGTAAAAACAACATCTATAATGTCAAAATTGGCAAATTTCAATTTTGTAAAGTATCTAAAAATAACTCCTCTAGATAACACCATAAATTCAATAAAGTTGTTTCTCACAATGCAAGATTGTAAGTAAATAATAAATTGAAAACAGAGAAATAATGAATAATTTTTAGTGAATAATTTCACAAAAACAATATTCAATCAATGAAAACAATTTTAATCATTTAATATTGTTTAGAAATCAATAATGTAATCTATAATTCAAAATATTTTATGACATACTGTTGTGGAAAATACAATCTGACTAAATCATTGATTTCTAAATGTTTCTAGATACATTAAACTATTTTTGAATATTTAAATAAGGATTCAAAATTAATAATACAATTTGTGATCTAATTACACTACTATAGAAATATTCTTTGTACAGTCAATCTTAATTTATTGTCAGAATGTGATAAAATATCTTATCTACCTGCACAAAGTGAAGGCATCATCAATGAGACTAGCACGATCAGCTGGACTAAATGAAGAATGGTTCTGATGTAATGCAGTTATTATGGCTTGCCACATTGAGTCATCATACATAACTCTATAAAAACCTGACTGATTTACATTCACTTTAACCCACTGCACTTCTGGAGGAACTTCAAATTTTACTAAAACCAAAGAAAGAAAGAAAATGAAATTATGAGAAAACATCATTGATATAAATATGACAAGAAAAATAAGATGCTTACCATCCGTCATATTCATCCAAACATGGTGAATAGAACTAGGATCCACATCTGTATAGTAACTAAGGGGCACAAACCATTTGTAACCAAAAGGAGATTCTTCAGGATGAATAGTGTCGTTATTCATGTGTGCTGTTACAAGAAAACGGTGCTGTGTTGCTGAGATGATGTTTCCAGTTCTTGATACAGTTACGAGAGGAAAACCCATTTGCCTTGTCCATGTATCCATAATAGTCTACAGAAAATAATTAATTTAGTAAGGAATAAAGTAACAATGACCTTTCATAAATTGTGGATTCCCAACCTCTTTCTTTCATCAACTCCTGTTTAAAGAATTGTTTGCTTCATTGACCCCCTTCTGTTTTCCCTATAGTATAGAGCCTCTACAATCACAACACAATTCACTGCTGGTAAATGCCTTACTTAAATCATAGCTTCATCATTTCTTAAATCAATATTCTTGTAAAAAAATTTATTTTCAATATCCGAAGATGTTTTCACTTCCGAGTAGCTTAGTTTCTAAATTTCTTTGTAGTGTAATGGTTACACAATGAGGAGTTTTTTTTGTTCGTTTGTCTTTTGGGAATTGTCCCAAATATTTCTCCAGTGTGTATTGCAGATGTTATTTTATTGGGCATTAGTTTTGTTGTAGATGCAAAATTGTAATTTGAGTTTTCTAAAGATCTTAATTCTTCAGGATACAGATATGAAACAAGAGAAGTGAATTGGTAACTTGTTAGTCTATATGTTTTGTTGCTATATATCAAGAAACTGTTAATGATCAAGTTCATAAAAACTTGTATTTTTGTTTGTAACCAATGAGATCATGATTATACAGATCAGTCATTGGTTCATATTATGTTATCGATTCCCAAATCATCATTGGCCCCCTTCAAAATTTCAACGACCCCCTTCAAAATTTCATCGACCCATAGGGGGTCAATACCAACCCCATTGGGAAACCCTGGTATAAATAGAAGAAACAAGTATCAATTCTCTTTTTACAATGTTTATGAAATTAGAGGCACTTGAAGAACCAGAGATGGTTTGAATGCAAACAAAATGTTTTGAAAACTGTATAAATTACCTCCTTTGAGGGAAAAATTTCTATTCTTTAAGAGAGTGAAACTATAATAAAATTATATATTAATTTAATAGATGGTGAAATACCTTTACTTCTATTGACTGATTTGCATTTTTACTTAATACACTCCAGAGATCATCAGTATCTGCATTTCCATATTTGTGTGAATTTAAGTAGTCATATAATCCACTTCGTAAAATATCCTGATGTAAAAATATTTCCAGCATATGTATGACTGATGCTCCCTACAAAAACCACAAGATTAATAATTATAATTGTCACTGAATATTCTTATTATAAAGAAACCAATGACAAATAATAATTTCATGGATTAACATTTAATTAAAAATAAATAAATAGCACTATGTGAAATTAAAACCAAAATGCACTTACTTTACTATACGATATAGTATCAAATATTGCTTCAATTTCAACTGGATCATGAACATCAACAGAAATAGGGTGGCTACTAGCTAAAGCATCTAAAGTCAATGCTGGTTGAGTCTTGTCCAAGATGAACTGGTCCATCATCTTCCATCCAGGCATTACATGATCAACACCCAAGTACTCCAAAAAGGAAGCAAATCCTTCATTGAGCCACAAGTCATTCCACCATTTCATAGTGACGAGATTACCAAACCACTGAAGAACACAAACAGATTTTCAACAATCTTCAGAAGCATTCAAAATTCTTCTCAATTAAAGTCTCTATTGCCCTCTTTGTAAGATGAGCATATTAAATAATGTGATTGTTAAAAAAATTTTAAATTGCACATTTTAGTTAAATGTTCCAAAATTAAGACTTTTAAATTATCTCATTCAACCTAGAAAGAAAGGTGAAATGTTCTAAATAAGAAATAATAAGTATAAGAATTGAGTGTTACAATGTTATTAATATAATGAAGAATATGAACAAATTAAATACACATCACACATAATAAAATTTAGAAGATATTGAATATTTGTATGTTTCATCTGTATGTGTAAAGTGAACATTTCATAACAACGGTATGAGCAATATTCTCGTTTCAAGCACTTACTCTCGTTTAAGACAATTGGTCACGAAGTAAACAAAATATGCCATATTATGATTCTTCTTTCTTACAATAGCTTCCCTTTCCTGAAATTCCGACAAGCAAATAATACTGATACATAATTCCATACCCCCAGTTCTTACTCTGTTGCCTGTGAGTGAATACTTCATTTTTTTGCACCTGATTAACTGTGAACATTCTCTTTTCATTTTCTGGCATATTATGCACTCACTCTGACTTATGCAGTTTAATAATTTTTATTTTTTTGTAATAGAAAGTAAACCTAGCGATAGTCTCACACTTCTAAAAAACAAAATTATGTGCTAAAGATGAAATAACGTTTGGAATTCAGCCAAATATGTAATTTTTTTATTGTTGTAATTTTACATAGTTGTTGTGAAAATACTTTCAGGTGAGGTCAAGATCCCTTTCAGAATGCACAGATCAATTATGATCTGATGCATAATGTGAGTATTGGAAAAATATTGAAATGAGTGATCATGACATTAAGTATAGGGAGGAAAAATGTATTACACAAGAGTATATTGATATTGATCTGAAAGTAATACAGGAGACTTTTATAAATTTATTATAAAAACAATGTGCCACCAAGCATAGTGGCTCAATGCACAAGTGCTCTGGATTTGCTCCAGGGGTTCTATCCCTAGGCTGACCATCCTGAACAGGGTTTCCATGGTTTCTTGTGTCATAAAGCAAATACTGGGATGGTTCCAAAATCCCACAATCCAACTATGTAGATGATATGATTAGAGACCAAACACCACCAGGAATGAAAATAGGACCAAACAGATATATTAACACCTTGCTTTTTGCCGATGATCAAATAATCATACAAGACTGAGGATAAATTGCAAATGGCACTACACAGGCTGAAGGAACTCAGTCAAACCTATAAACTTAGAATATCATTAACAAAAACCAAAACAATGTCCTTTTCAGGTATTTATCCAATAAGAACAAAAATAGTTGTGAATGACAAACCAATAGAGCAGGTGTCTTATTTCCAGTATTTGGGTTTTGATTATCTTATAAAGACCAAGATATCAAGAAAAAAATTAACATGTATCATATATGGCACAATTCTAAAAACAAGAACACGAAAAGAACGGCAATTGAAATTTTACAAGGTCATGGCAGTCTCCACTTTACTATATGGAGCGGAATGCTGAACTCTCAGGAACAAGGATCTTAAACAGCTAGAAGTCTCAGAAATGAAATTTCATAGATCGGTTAAAGGTTGCACCACAGAAGCCAAAATCTAAAAATGAAGCAATCGGGAATGAACTAGGGATGCAATCAATAACCGAAATGGCGATCCACCATAAAGAAAAATGGAGAGTACATGTTGTTCGTATGCCACCAGAAAGGATTCCAAAACATGCAATGGAGTAAAATCCATAAGGCAAAAGAAGTCTTTCTTTTGAAGGAGGAGATGGTGAGATCGGAACAGGCCTCAGGTCTAATCCTGGCAAGGCAGAAGAAGATGAAGATAATGATAATGATAATGATGATGATGATGATCATAATAGTAATTATTATTATTATTATTATTATTATTATTATTATTATTATTATTATTATTATTATTATTATTATGCACAAAAAATTAATTCTGTACTTTCTATTATTATAATCATTGTTATCATTGCCATTACCTACATTATTATTAAATTAAAATTAAAAAAGTTCAGATTTAAAGAACTAATTTTTGGAACAGACTTTATTAAAAAAAAAAAAAAACACTTAATTGTCATCAATATTGTACTTTTGCAATTCTAATTTTTAGCAATTTTCAAAAATACAGAGATCACTGCAAATTGGATCTGTGCCATTTTTACAAGCTCACTGTGGTCTATTTAAAAAAAAAAAAAACAACATTTAAACGAAACTTCAGAGCCCTTTTTGGGAAAAAATTGTTTTACACTGCCTATATTGCACAAAGTTATGCAAAAACTAGTAATTTTATAAAGATTGTATGTGATCTTATTTAAAGATGTCTTCAAATTAATTCTTTGTCTTTAAATGAATTTTTTTTAACATTTGAAGAAAAGATTTCAGTACGGCAAAAATCTCTTACTATATTCTATTTGTGGGGAATCGCTGACAAAATTTGAATGGTTTGCATCTTTTCAAAATTTGGAAAATTCAATGAAAATGAGAACTATGCTTTTTTTGAAGGCATTTGTCCTCACTGTGAGAAAAATATTTCATCCAAAAATTTAGAGCAGTTTTCGGGAAAATTTTTAAAATTTTCAGATTTTCAGATAAAAGATTCATATAAAGTATCCCCCAAACTCAAAATATTCATTTCAAATTTGCAGAGCCTTGAGGTCAACCAAGTCACTCTAGGAAATTGGAGAAAATAATCAGAATGGCTGAGGTGCTGGCATTGACATTCAGATAGACTATTAGGTATAAAGCAATTTTTTGGTATTAAAAACCCACAAAGTGGATTCTGACTACATAAATGTTAGAGAAAATAATATACTAAATAAAGAAACCAGATATATCCACGGTTTTGAAGTAAAGATTTTTCAGAATAAGAATTTTCGTGATGGAAAAGGGACATTTTCCACTGCAACATGACAATACTTTCTCTTTAGTATCAAGTGCGTAGTATGGTGAGAAAGTAAAACGATACAGTTCCAATTTTCATGAAAAACAATGAAATTTTGAAAATTGCAAAGTTAAAATTTATCTTAGAACCTGTTCCAATATTGAAGTCAGAGATTTTTTTCTCAATGCAATTAACCCTCCATTTTCAATCTTTAATTATTTCAAGCATAAAACAAAAAATAATACTTGCTGAGGAAAAACTGATGCCATGAGAGGGGAAAAGTTTTGATATGGTGTGCATTTCCACAAGTTTAGTATGAATTCTCTGATTTAAATGACATATGCCATAGGAGAGATTTGACAGACCTTGACTTGATTTTTTTACAGGTATGAGGGTTCAAACTTGCCTGATGAGCTAGTTCATGGCTACAACAATGGCTACCCATTGATGTGCAGCTGCTGAAGTTTTTTATAATCGTACAAAATAAGATGTTTCTCGATACGTATAAGTCCCCAGTTCTCCATAGCCCCCAGCAGCAAAATCAGGAATTGCAATCAGATCTGAAACATCCACAGAAATATAAATATAATAAATAAATAAATATAATATATAATATTAGTATAATATATAGTATATATATTATATATATATATATATATCAAAATTGAAGGATTGAAAAAAATGGTTTTAAAAAAATATATTTTAAAAAGTTATATTTTGGTTTAAATAATAGTACTACGATAAAATTAAGTTTTTTATGTTAAAATAAGA